TTTTTGATTAAGCAATATATTCAGGTAACTCAAAAATCAAAATATATAAAAATATTAAAAGTGAAAAGTCTAATTCCCACCCCATTCCATATGCCCCATTCCCACCCCACCCCCACAGGTAACCATTTTTATTATTTTCTTGGATAGCCTTTCAGAGTTTTTAATGCAAATATTAATAAATGCAAATATATACTTATTTTCTCCCTTTGCACACAAAAGATAGCATATAATCACTGTTGTGCACCTTTATTTTTTTTTAGTTAACCATATATGGGCAATCTTCTATCAATATATATAGAACTTTCTCAATCTTTTTTTAATGTAAGTTTTTTTTAAATATAATTTACATACCATAAAATACACCCCTTTAATTTGTACAGTTCAGTGGTTTTCCATATAGTAACAAAATTGTGCAACCATCATCACTAATTCCAGAATATTTTCATCATCCCAAAAAGAACTCATTAGCAGTCATTCCCCATTCTCCCTTCTTCCCAACCCCTGGCAACCACTAATCTATTTTCTGCCTTGGTGGATTTGCCTATTCTGGACATTTCATATAAATGTAAACATATAATATGTGATCTTCTGTGACTGGCTTCTTCTCAGCATAGTATTTTCAAGGTTCATCCATATTGTAGCATATATCAGTACTTTATTCCCTTTTCTGGCTAAATACTATTCTATCATATGGATATACCTCATTTTATTTATCCATTCACCAAATGATGGACATTTGGTTTGTTTCCACTTTTTGGCTGTTGTGAATAATGCTGCTCTGAACATTAATGTACAAGTTTTTGTGTGGGCGTATGTTTTCAATTCTCTTAGGTACACCTGGTAATGGAACTAACTGCTGGGTCATACATATAACTCTATGTTTAACTTTCTGAGGAATTGCCAAACTATTTTCCAAAGTGTCTACACCATTTTACATTCCCATCAGCAGTGTATAAGGGTTCCAATTTTTCCACATCCTTGCCAGACTTGTTATTGTCTTTTTTATCATAGCCGTCTGCATTTGTAATTTTGATAAGGATTGCCAACATCATAGAGATTGTACCAGTGTATGAAAGTGCCTGTGTTCTCAGCCTCAATAAACTTCTTTTTAATTTGAGAAGTAAAAAAATGATATCTTAGTTTTATTTTAGTTGAACTCCTGTATTAGTTTTGCTGTGGTAACTAATGGCTTCAAATTCCCACTGCTTATACAGAGGTTTATTTCTCCTTCATGGTTTACGTTTGTGGTTGGCTATAGTTCAGATCCATGTGTCTTTATTCCAGGACCCAGGCTGAAGGAACAGCGCCTACTCAGGACACAATGTTCTTGTGGGCGAGGCAAAAGAAAAAAAGGCAGAGAAAACCATGCACTGACACTTTTTTTTTTTAAAGATTTTTATTGGGGATTTGGGGGATGGGAACAGCGCTGGGGGATTGGGGGAAGGGGAACAGACAAGTTGCTGTCCTTTTGTTCTTCAGTGTAGTTGTGGAGGATATTGCTTCACTGATCCAAGTTGGCACCATCATTATGCTCTTCCCGGGCGAGGCAGATCAGTCACCAGCTTCTGGACAGCCATTCACTGCGGCTGCTGGCCGCTCACGCTGGCTGCCGGCTACACATGGTAGCCCATGGCAACCCACTGCAGCAGGGGCTGCAGCCTACGCCGTCGCTGGCAAATCATGGCAGCCCAGCTCCAGGTTGAGCTGTTGTTCAGCATCTTAGCTGTAGAGGGCAGTGTCACTGGCCCTCATATGTGAGATCTGAACCGGGGCCTTCTGGCGTCCCAAGCCAGCTCTTAACCATCGCGCCACTCGGCCAGCCGCATGCACTGATTCTTAAAACTTCTGTTCAGACCTGGCATATGGCACATCTATTCATATCCCCTTGACCAAAGCAAGCCCTAGGACAGTGGAGTGAGGGTAGGTACATGTTCCTCCCACAAGAGGGCACTAAAAAGCGCATGGCAATGGGAGAAGATGTAAAATCCCATCACAAGATCACTGGGCACAGGCCCTTAGAATTTTGCAGTTTCACCTCAGTCCACACCAGCCCGCCTCACTCATTTGCATTACTTGCCTGGCCCTGTAGATATCAGAGTTGGAACCACTGGTCTAAAGGCTTCTCTCCTTGATACTTGGCCGGCTGAGTGGCTCAGTTGGTTAAGAGCTTGCTCAAGAGTGCGAGCTCTGAGCAACAGGGTCGCTGCTTCAATTCCTGGCTCAAGCTGAGCTGCTGCTGAGCTGCCAACAGGTAACAGGATGGCTCAGCTGAAAAAAAAATTTTTTTAAATAAAGGCTTCTCTCCTTCTCTCATGGGCACTCTCGATTATCCCCTCTCATTTCTTCAACTCTCCCTCCTAATACCTCTTATAGCATTTTAAATTGTTTAAACCTCTCACAACATGTTCCCACTCCAGCCACCTCCTCTTCAAGCCAACCTTCTTAAAAGAGTTGTCTCCACTCTGTCTTCACTTCCTCTCCTTCACTTTCCTCGACCCACCACCATGTAGCTTTCACCTTGAACATCACCAAGAATTCCGTGCCTCCAAGTGCAACGGACACATCTCATCTTTATCCTACTTGACTTCTCTGCAGCCACTGACATATTTTGCCATTCCATCTTGAAACATTTTCCTTCAATGGCTTCCATATGACTACCCCTGACCATTTCTTAGTTTCCTTTGCATTTCCACCTTCCTCTGACCTTCCCTGAAATGCTAGAGTACCTCAGGGTTCTATCCCAGGGTCTCTTTCATCAGTATTAAGCACCTCTCCCTAGACAATCGCATCCATTCCCAGGGCTACGTGCTGAAAACTCCTCTATCCCAGGCCTCTCTCCTGAACCCAAATCCATGAAGCTATCTGCCTAATTTGGAAGACTCACAGGCACTTCACATCCAATAGGTCCCAAACTGAACTCATTATCAGTCCTTTCAAACCTGCTCTTCTTGGGTTCCCCGGTTCAGTGAAAGGCACCATCTTCTACTAGACACTCAAACCTAGATTCTAACTGATCTCCTGCCTCCTCATCCTCATCCTCATTCTTTCTTTTATATTTAATCTTCAGATTTTGTTACATTTTTCTCTCTTTCTCGCTCAAAAACATCAGAACAACACTAAAACCTGGATAAAGCTTCACTTCTTTCCTCTGGGCTATGTTGTAAAATTATTTTCTTAAAAACACTCTCAAGGGAAAATGCTAACTTTCCAGTGGAGAAGCCTGGTGGACACCATCTTACCCAAGTGATCAAAGTTAACATGACCAATAATGGGACAGACCAGCATGACGGGCCTCCTGACGTGAGGTATTGAGAAGCATTCAACATCACATATAATATTTCTGCCAAAAATGCATAACCTGAATTTAATCATAAGGAAATACATACATCTAAATTGAGGTTCATTCTACAAAATAACTAGCCTGTACTCTTCAAAAATGTCAATGTCATGAAAATCAAAGAAAGACTGAGGAACTGTTCCAGATTGAAGGAAACTAGAGACACTACAACCAAAAGGAATGTGTAATCTTAGATCAGCTCCTGGATAAGGAAGAAAAAAAAATCTGCTCTGAACAGCGGTATTGGAACAACTGGTAGAATCTAACTACAAATGGCATCACAAATATTAGTATTCTATCAGTGTTAAATCTTCAGAATTTGTTCATTGCATTGTGGTTATCGAAGAGATGGTTCTTATCCTTAGAAAATAAATGCTGGGGTCGGCCGAGTGGCTGAGCTGTTAAGAGCGCAAGCTCTGAGCAACAGGGTCGCTGGTTCAATTCCCACATGGGCCAGTGAGCTGCACCCAAGCTGAGCTGCCACTGAGCTGCCAATTGGTGGCAGGATGGCTCAGCTGGTGAGAGCACATGCTCCTAACAAGGTTGCCGGTTTGACTCCTGCATGGGATGGTGGGCTACACCCACCCACAACTAAGATTGAACACAGCACCTTGAGTTGAGTGGCCGCGTGCTGCCGACGGGCAGCCAGATGGTGACTGGACTTGGAGCTGAGCTAGCTGTGCCCTCCACAACAAAGATTTTAGGACAACAACTTGGCTGTTCCTCTTCCCCAACACTGTTCCCCTTCCCCAATTCCCCAATAAAATCTTAAAAAAATAAAAAAGAAAGAAAATATATGCTGAAACATAGCAGTAAAGGAATATAAGTACTGCAACTTTCAGTACAAAAAAAGACAATACTGTGTGCATGTATCTACAAGCACTTTTAGAAAAAATAACAGCTTTATTGAGATATGAGTCACATACCATAAAGTTCGCCCTTCTAAAGTACACAATTCACTGGGTTTTTTTTAGTATATTCACAAAGCTGTGCATCGATTACAGTATTTAATTCCAGAATATTTTTATCACCCCAAAAAGAAACCCCATACCTATTACCAGTTACTCCCCATGCATTTTATAAAAGACTAGAAAAGATGGAAAAAGTCTTCAAAATAGTAACTCTGGTTATTTCTGGGTATTGGAATTATAATTTTCATTTTTTTATTTACACACTTCTATATTTTTATAGTTTTATAACTTCATATTACTTATATAATTATAAAGGTTATTTTTAAGCAACCAGGAAGGTTAAGGAGAATTCCAAAATATACTATTGCCAGGCTCAAGGAATGACTCTAGCACATCATGTAAGGTTTACCAACTCCTCAATCTACTATCATCAAAAAGGTCTAATGGTGACAAAGGTAGCCAAATATTGCACATTTCTATCATGCAGCCCAGCTAGCTTTCAGAAAGCGGAACAGGTTCAGCTAGTTCAGCAAACATCAGCTGCGTGTCTACTTCTGTTGCCCAGGACTACCCCCAGCGCTGTCTGCACTGTGTGTTCCAGCTAACAGGCCAGAAAGGGAGGCCGCCACATAAAATAAAGGCATGTTCACCACAATAGAGTGGAAGCTCATGAAGGAAAGGCAAGGCTGGCGAACTCTGCTCAACTGGACCAGGGCAGCCTTCAAAGATAAAACATTCAGTCTTTCCTTAAGGCTATAAAAAAGTGGTGCAGGAAAAAGACTAACGAGTAATCATTACAATACTATTTGAGTAAGTGATGGGGTAGGCCTGAGGGAAGAGGGTGCCATGGAAGTTAGGAAGGTCACACAGAAGGGGGCCTGCCTAAGGGCAAAGGGATTAGGGCAGTTGCTTCTTAAAGCACTTTCAGCCAGGCTTATTGTTAGAAAGTGAAAACGCTGATTCTGTGCTAACTACCTATTAACAAACCCCACTGACTCAACACCCACATTAATAGAGGCACCAAATTCTCCTTATGTACACAGTGATTTCTCCCCTTTTATATTGTAAATCCCTCAGGGGAGAGGACTAAGTCTTAACCTTCTTTAAGTAAAGCACCAAATACAAAATAGGCACTCAAAAAAAAAGTAAATTTCCATCTTCCCCGCTCTCCACCCCCTTCCTCCAAGGTGTTGCACAAAGGTACTCAATAAACATTTGGTGAATCAACGAATTATTTTCAAGTAAAGAGAAATAATACTGTTCTACTTACATTTAATTCGCATAAACTAAAAATCTGTATTAATGATAACTTAGAAGATTTGCAAAAGGTTTTATTTTTCTTCTCAAAGCCTTCTCATCTGTGATTTCCACTTGTTCCTCACAGTAGTGCTAGAAACTAGCCCCAAAAGGTATTTATTTATTCATCCTCATTGTCAAATGAGGACTCTTGGGCCAGAGAGAGTGAATTCATTTGTCCAATATTACAAAGGTGACACAGGAGCAAGCCTGCCTGGATCGCTGATGTCTGACTTCTAGGCCAGTATCTCTGCCACTGCATTATTGGTCCCTTTTAAGTATGGCATTTCTCACTACTTCTCACCATACACAAAAATAAGCTGCAGGTGAGACAAAGACATAAATTTAAAATATACAACTATAAGAATACCAGAAGGAAATACAGGGAAATATTTTTATAATCTTGAGTTGGCATGTCACAAAACCCCAAAAGCCACAGGCAGATTTGACTACGCAAAACTTTTAAAATTCTGTGTAAAGAAAGACACCATTAAAGTGGTTAAAGATAACTCATGGCTTTATTTTTCCCCACTCATTATTTTACCCACTCAATATTTTCCAAAATGGTTTTTCCTCTCCTAGTAATTATTCCTTTCCATGTAAACTTTAAAATCAGTTTAAGTTCCATGCAAAGTCTTGTTTTAATCAGAATTTAACTTAATATATAGCAAAAACTTATGTCTCTACTATATTACGTCTTCCTATTAATGAACATGGTAAAATTCACCATGTAACCAACCCTTTTTTGTGTTTCACTAAAATAGTCTGATTTTCTTAATTCTATATGACTTGCAGTTTCCTGTTAAATTTATTTCTAGAAATATAATATTTTAATTGTGCATGAAATTATTTATTCTACGACATTTTTATGGTTATATTGTTATATTTTATTACATAATTTTTGTTTGTTAATCTTACATCTGACCACGCTACTGAACTCACTAGTTTTACTATTTTGACAATTGATTCTCTTTGTAAATGAATATATCATATGAAAATAATGAGACTTTTGGGTGGCCAGGAGCTCTAGGGGAATATTAATTTTGATGGTAAACATTCTTGTCTTGCTCCTATCTTTGATAGGAAAATTTCAAATATTTTCCCATAGAGCATAACTTTTGCTCTGAAAAAAAAATTGAAAGATAAATGAAAATCTAAGAGAAAATATTTTAAATGCATATGACAAATAAAAATATAACATAGAGAAGATTTTCAACAATAAGAAATAGACAAATGATCTACTTTTCTCCTTAATGGGCAAAAGATATGAAAAGGCAGTTTACAAAATCGAAATGGTCAAAAAACAAGAGATATGCAATTTCACTATTAATAACATGCAAATTAAAACATGAAATTTCTATTTTTTACCTATCAAATTGGCAACTGTATAAAAATTCACAACATCCAGTATTGCCAAGATTGTAGGAAATGGGGACATTCACACATGGTTCTAAGTGAGTGTGTAAATGGTTACAAACTTTTGAAACCCAATTTCACAGAATCTATTAAAATTTAAAATACACATATCCTATTTACAAATCTATCTAGTGCAAAAAGATAACTATGTAATATGCTCATTATGGAATCGTTTATAAAAACAAAAAAAAAAACAAAAAAAAATACTGGAACTCACCTAAATGTTCATCAGGATGGGTCTAGACAGATTGAAGTACAAACACAAGTTGGAATACTATGAAACAATTTTTAAGATATGAACTGACTTAGATGTCTAAAATACATTGTGTGGTGCACTGTAGCTGTTCAATAAATATGTTCTGACAGAAAAAAATTTTTTGTATGAACATAGAAAAAGTCTGGAGGTATATATACCAAATTCATAAAAATGATTACCTTCAGGCACATGGGGTAGTAGAGGGGGAAACTAAACATTTGTCTTTTATTCTTTTGTGTTGTGTGGATTTGTTAAAATGAGTTAATTTTTTAAAAATTAGAGACTTACTTCTGATGATGTTTCTCTATCTTTCCATTTTATCTCAATTTTATGATGAGCCTAAGAGCACAAGCACTTGCTGTCAGTGGCTCAAACTTGGAATGCTCAGGAAAATGAAACCTGTGTGCAAAAAGTGGCTAGGAATTCTTGTCTTCTTTCATAAAGATTTTTTTCTTTTGGTATCCTAAATTCACAAACGGATAGCACCTACAGCAGAAGCTGGGATCTAAATGGAATGGACATTCCCTTCCACAAAATGCACTTTACATAGTACATCTTTAGCAGGACCACTCACTAATAGCTCAAGTTGGGAGTAGAATTTGAAGGAAGGCTCAAGTTTCCATTTTCCTAATTCAGTCAGGCCCAGGGGCCACCCTGCATCGCCAAGTCTCCAAGGAGACTAGTCTACTGAGGGGAGTCCAATGGTTTTTTCCAAGCGAAAACAATGTTAGACGATGGAAGGTCTGGAATAAACGCAGAAGCGTTATAAGGTAACCAGACCGACCTCGGAGTGCGTGGACACCGGTAGGGCACCCATTTTCAGACTGGGGTTGAGTGTACACGTCAGGAGTGTGCAAAGAAAGTTAACTCCTCTCCCAGCTGACTGGGGACCCCAGAATCTGAAGATCTGGGCCTGATGGAAAGCTCAGGTAAAGACAATCTCGGCCGAGTTACGTGAAAAGGCCGGGTACGAACTGTTCTGGATGTATTTGGGGCTCCAGGCTCAGAGACGACAGGGAGAACGTCCACGAGTTAGGAGAGTGATGACGCGTTTTCGAGGAGTCTTAACTAGCTCACATAGCAAAACCTCTCAAAGAGCACTCAGCTCACAATCATTTCAGGTCCTTCGTTCCTGCCCTCAGTCAAGATGGACGCCGAGGCTCACCTGCACCGGGCGCATGCGCCATACCGCCGCTCCGCCCTTCTCCCGTCCTTCCACGCGACGGCACCGCCCACTCACTAGCTGCACCCCGCTTCTGGTGTCCTCGGCCTCACCCACTTTCTGGCTGCCCCCGCCCGTCCAGGCTCCCGAGCCCGGAAGTGGATATAGCTGCCTGGCGGAGAGGACGAGGGGGAGGGGGAAGTGCTTCCGGGGAAGCGGACCCCGGGTTGGTGTTTGTAAACTTGCCTCGGTCCCGGCGGGGGCAGCGGCAGCCAAGGGGTTGGCACGGTGTGCTGGGGCCTGGAGGAGGCGTCGCGCGGCGGGGGAGACAGCGGGAGGCCGTGCCTGGCAGGTAGGAGCACGCCCCCAGGGAGAGCAGCGTCGTCCGGGCAGAAGGCAGCGCTTCAGCAGCTCACAGGCCGTGGGGCGCCGCGCGGGAAGGGGGAGGGGAAGGGAGGAGGGGCGCGTGGCGAAAGGAGGGGGCTCGCCGGGGAAGGGAAGGGGCAGCGCGCGCGCACTGCCCCGCGCCCGCGCGCCCGCCGCGTCACCGGCCGGGGAGAGGGGGGCTTTCTTGGAGGGACGCGGACGCGAGCACGCACCTTGCGCTCTCCGGCTCTCAGGGTTCGTGGAGCGGGCTCGGCGGCTGGTTGTTGGGAGGGAGGGAGGGAGAGAGGGAGAGAACGCGCCGTGCCGGGCTTCGCTTGCCTGCCTTCGACCTCCGCAGCTAGTTTTCGTACCTTCAGGCAGACTCAAAGAACCCTCACATGTGGCCCGACCCGATGCACACTGCCAGTCCGGTTTCTGCCCTCTACCAAAGCGCCCAGCGATAGCCCCTGAGCTTTTCTCCTCCCCAATCCTGACCACCTTAAGAGAGTGCGAGCGTCGGGCGGCCCACTTGGGCACAAAAGCCCCAAAGGGCCTCAGATCCCTTCTTGCATTCCTATGATGTCAAATCCAAGCAGTTGGCCTGTTGCAGTTCCTCCGTAAGAGACCACCATTTACTTTTGCTCCTGTTGACTGCCCAAGAGGACAGTTTCTTTTGTTGACCTAGAAAGATAACTCTGCTTGATTAATGTCCTCTTTCTGAGCTTCACAGAGAGCTCCTGGCAAAAAAAAAAAAAAGTTCAGCTCAATACAGGTTGTATGACCTGAGGATGTTGCACCTAACAGTCCATCTCCCTTTCTGGTTTCAGATTCCTGAAACAGATCGTGAACGTCGTCGAGAGAATTCAGTTGGAAAACCAAGATTGGCAGACTTTTTTCTTCAGACAATAGGCAGGAGCCAGAGTCCAGGAATTCTTGGAACATCTATCTTCCCTTTGGAGGACATTTAAGTTCTATTTGAAGACAAAGCCAGTTCAATATGGCAGCAGGACTGAAGGGACATGAAGGAGTTGTTACAGTGATTTGGTGACAGTTCTTCAAACAGCAGTGTCTTAAGGAAAGGTGGATCAAGAAACTCCTGAACTTTTGGGTTGCATTGAGTGAGACAGCAGCATGGCTCAGGTAAAAAGCTCTATAGAGTCCTCCTTCAAGATCACTGGGAAGCGTGTTTGCAATTTCACTCTTGAATGCTGCCTTAGTCAACATATTGACCAACCCAGTGAGCCAAGCTCTGTATTAAGCACCAGGGGGAGATCTAGAGGAAGGAAAGGAGACAGGCCACAGCCCCTGCCTTCAGGGAGCTTCCAGCCAGATGGAGGTAGGCTATGCTGCATCAGACACTGAGGAGACATTTGCAGAGCAACAGGTACTCAGTTTACACTTGGTATATTAAGTGCTGAGGGCTGTGAGGGAGTGAACTGTCTTGTAAGTGCTTCATTTGTTTTTTTCAACAACAGTTTATTGAGCTCCTGTTACATATAAGGCATTGTGCTAGGGATACAAAGATGAATAATATTGTCCTGGTCCCCAGCAAGTTTCTAGGCTAGTTATGTTGGGATCGGGGGAGATGAAGAGACACAGCCTCTTATTTATCTTCATAGTTACACCACCTTGCATAGAGGCTGACCTAGTAGTAGCGACTCAGCGAATCTGTTGATTGAAGGAATAATTGAGGTATGTACACTGCAGAGCAGAGAATGATATTTCTACCTGGTTGAAAAAAGAAGATGAAGCTTGAAGGATGCGTAGGATTTTGCTAGATAAACAGAATAGGGCATTCAGACAGGGAGAACTGCATGAGCAGAGGCTTAGAGGTACAGGAGAATGGGATGAGGTTAGGAGTAATGTAGGTAGTTTGTTAAGGAGGAAAGGATTTAAATGGATGGTTAAGAGGATAGGGTAGATAGTGATGGATGGAAAAGTTAGGGTGAGGGAGTTGTTTCCTGGAGAATTAAGCAGTGTAACTAAGAGCCTTATATGTCTTGCTCAGGAATTAGACTTTATAGGGAATGGGAACTCTCTGAAGAATGTTAAGCAGAAAAGTGACGTTAGATCAGTGTGTTTAGAAGGTAATTGTCATTGTGGGGGTACACGATGAAATGGAGAGACAGGATGACCTGATAGGTTATTGTCATCCTCTGGGTAGGAAAGCTATGTGCACGCATACCCCACCTTACTTCCAGGGACCCTCACCTACCAGTCTCACCAGGATGGCAGCCTGATTACAGTATAATTGGCTTTCTTCCAGTTGCATGCGTAGCTTCCTCCTTTTCATGCAGAGTAGGGGTCCTTAAGTTTCTTCTTTTGTCTGTTTGCAACCCATTTCACAGCATCATATTCACACTTGTTCTGAGAATACTGCTTTTCACCAATCACTAATTTTGTATTGGGTACTGCTGAGCATTTTACATCCTAGTTTAATTCTTATCAACCTTGTGAGAATAGATACTATGATAAACATTTTGCATTTAAGGAAACAGCTTTGAAAGAGGTGGAGTAATTTGCCCAAGATTATATAATGCAAACAGCAGAGCTAAGTTGTTTTTTTTACCTCCAGACCTTTCAGTCCAAAGTCCTTGAAGGTGAGAGAAGATATACTGATCATCTGAAAGGAATTTCTTTGTAAATTACCTGTGAAAGTTTACTGATAAACTATTTCCTAAAAGTTTCTTCAATAAGAAAAGTATATTCTCTAGTGCTGGCTGAACAAAGTTAGTTTAAAGAATATAACAGTGAAAAGAAGCCATTTTCTTAAATATTCCTTGGTTAAGTAATTTTTAAACTATATGTAGAGCAGGGAATGTGAAAAAATATGGAAATGCACACACATAAATGGTCTGGTGGGTCAAGAGAAATTGTATATTCAACTCCAAAATCCCTCCAGGTGGTTTAATTTTTGTATGGTATAATTAACAACACTTAGGGAATTTAAAATCTAAAGAGAGAAATGACCTAATTTTACTGATAAACATATTTGTGGGACCTGATAGAATATATATTTGGCATCAGTGAGATCTGCCAATCAGAAATGGGTTCTGTGAAGCTGAGTGCTGTTGAGAAGTGAAGGAGGAAGTTCCCCTAGAAAACTCCCATTTCAGTGGGTCAGCAGGATGGACCCTCACGCCTACTCACAAGGCCTAGAAGTACTTCAAAGTAGTACAGGTACACATACCGGACCTAGCACAGTGCTAATGATAAAAAATGTCAGTAAGACTTGATTATTCATTTGATCTGTATCTAAATGATGGATGTCAAAATAGTCTCTAGTAAGATTAGTTAGGGAGGACTCTTGAAGGAAACAGGGTTTCAAAGTGAGGAGGGACACTCCCTAGAGAGAAGCAGTTTGTAGCTGGGTGTAAAAGGTCGTTCTATAGAGGATGGCAGCCTGTTTTTGCCCTGCCCTGCCAGGTGACCTGACACCTCATCTCCTTTCAACTTAGGCAAGTCTCCTGGCTTGTGAAGGCCTAGCAGGTGTGAGTTTGGTTCCCACTGCAGCCAGCAAGAAGATGATGCTGAGCCAGATTGCCAGCAAGCAGGCCGAGAATGGAGAGCGGGCAGGTAGCCCTGATGTGCTGAGGTGCTCGAGTCAGGTACAGCGCTTGAGTCCATTGCGGCACCTGGGGGTCGGGTAGCCCAAGCTCTCTGCCAGGGGATGCCAAGCTTTGATTCTTTAGTGCTCGGTTAGGGAAGTGGGGAAAGGGGATCCGGCTGGGGAATGATGAACATGGGTATTTTAGAGAGCTAAGGAAGGTCTTTTGTGTACCCACCACCCCTTAAGACAGAGTACTTGGAGAAGAGATGGATGAGTACGTTTTCTAAACCTTTAAGCAGATGGTTTATTCTCATAAGTTGCCTAAAAGCAGCATTTGGTCTCCTGTCTTGTGTTCTGAGATGGACTGTGAGTTTAGATTTGATTTGTATTCAAAGGGCCACCGAAAAGACAGCGATAAGTCCCGGAGCCGCAAAGATGATGACAGCTTGGCTGAGGCCTCTCATTCAAAAAAGACTGTTAAAAAGGCAGGTAATGGGGTTATCCCCAAACTGGTACAATTTAGTAACGGGTTAATCCACTTTTTTCACTTTATGGCTCAACCTGGAGCTTTCCTAGATGTTTTGGTCCCTCACAGCCAGTGAGCATGTCACCCTGATTTCATCCAGAGACCACTTTAATAGTGGATCTCTGCCCTCTCTGGAACACCCTCTAAGGGTTAGAGGAGCATGTCCCTGTGGCAACGGGACAGGCAGACTCCGTCTCAGGTCCCATTCAAAGTGTTGAGTTGAACAAGGCAGATAGCTTACCCACCCCACCTCCTTCCTCAGAGGGTCTCTGAACTCTTAAGGGATATGGGAGATGACAGCATCTGAGGGGTTACTTTGTCCAGCAGCTGGAAATAGACCCTGAGTAGAATGGGGGCAAGAAGGGGGCAGAGAGAGAGCCTCATGACATGCCTGATTGTTGTCCCCAGGTGGTGGTAGTGGAACAAAATGGTTCTTTTCAAGTAAAGATTCCCAAAAATTTTGTTTGTGAACACTGCTTTGGAGCCTTTAGGAGCAGTTACCACCTCAAGAGGCATATCCTTATTCATACTGGTAAGTCTCTTGCTCATATGCAAAGGGGCAGAAGAGAGAGAGATAGGGAAGGAGGGAGGGAGGAAGAGAGGGAGGGAGGGAAGGTAGTTGTAGGTTTAGGTATGTAGTTCTTGTTGGGTTTATTTTAAAGGATAAGTATTAGAAATAGGATAAGAAAGTCAGTGAAGGAGGTAGGGTGCTTGGCTCTGTATCTAATGTCACTGAGACCATCAGCTTTGGGTACCCATCCCCATTGGGTGTCTACACATTGCTAAAAGTTAAAATTTCTGGGAAAATACCTAGAACGAGCATCCTGCCATGTATACCTCCTGACATTAATTTCTCTCTCCACCTGGGCCAGGTGAGAAACCGTTTGAGTGTGATGTATGTGACATGCGCTTCATCCAGAAGTATCACCTGGAGCGTCACAAGCGTGTGCACAGTGGTGAAAAACCCTACCAGTGTGAAAGGTGTCATCAGGTAAGCTCACAGTCATCCATCCACTGCCACACACAAGTCTTTCCTTCCCTGAGAACCAGGGCCAGCCCTCACTTCCTGCCTGACAAGGGATCACCTACTGTTGTTGGCCATGACTGAGTACCTCAGGGTGAAGTGTATCTCTCTGGCTTTATGCACCTGATCATGGGGAGAGGCATTAGGATTATTGTAATGATAATAGCATTTCTTTTTTTAGAGAAATTTTATTGGGGAACAGTGTGTTTTTCCAGGACTTATCAGCTCCAAGACAAGTAGTTGTCTTCAATCTTGTGGAGGGCGCAGCTTCTTGGCCCATGTGGGAATGGAACCAGCAACCTTGGTGTCATGAGCCTGCTCTCCAACCACCTGAGCTAACTGGCTGCCCCCGATAATAGCATTTGTTAAGGTCTTACTCTATGCCAGACACTGTGAGAGCATACTTGACATAGATTACTTTATTCTCCCATTAACTCCGTAAGTTGGCTGTGTTGTCCTGATTTCACATATGGGGAAACTGAGGTTCAGAGAGGTTAAGCTTCCCAAGGACACAGCAAATCAAGGGCAGAGCCAGGATTCAGTCGAACTTCAGAGCTGGTGCACTTCGAGGAAAAGATGTAATCTCTGCACTGGGGCGGGGTCTGTATCTGATCTGATGAGAATGTAAGAGCCAGGACCAAAACAAGAACAAGAGATGAGAAATGATAACAACTAACACCTCCTGAATGCTTTGCTAGGTCAAAGGCTTTGCTCAATGCTCTTACACTGAATCTTCAAAACACTGGAATGAAAGCTTCATAAGGCAGACTTTGTCCCTCTGGTTCTCCACTCTCTCTGCAGCCCCAGGAATTGTACCTGCCTTGAGATAGATACTCAATAAATATTTGATGAATGAAGCAGCCACACTGTGAGTAGGTACTTTTAGCTCTCTTTTACAGACGAATGTACAGATTCAGGACTGTTAGATAACTTGCCCAAGATCACACAGCTACTTAGTGGTAGAGCCAGGATTCAGACTCCAGAGCCTGCTTGTTCTTACCACTGTGCATTCGTGCCATCTGTGTATGTGCTGAGGTGACATAGAATGGGTCGTGTGCCTCCTCTTGGGGGAAGACAGATTTAGCCAACAGGTAGCTAAGTTTCTCCTCTCAGGCACTTAACCCTCCCTTTCTTCTCAGTGTTTTTCTCGGACAGATCGATTACTCAGACACAAACGGATGTGCCAAGGGTGCCAGTCCAAGACTTCCGACGGGCAGTTTTCGCTATAGGCGCAAGGGGCCCTGGGTGGTGGGAGTGATCAGAAGAATCTACCGAAGAGCGCACCCCCTCTGGTCTGACGGTCCCACCACCACCCCGTGTGTACCTGTCCCCTCCTGGAGGAGTGGACCCAGGAGACCAGAAGAGTGCATCAGGGGACAGTGGCCCCAGAGCCTCAGCTCTGTAAATAATCTGAGACTATGAGTATCTCGGGGAAGTTCCTACAGCATTCCTGGGTAGGGAAGCTAGTCCCTGGACCCTTGGCTGAGGTTATAGATGGGGGACTAAAGTTACAGGACCAAGACCGAAGTGTGGCTCCCACAACCTTGGACTCCAGCTGGCAGCTGAAATGGAAAAGATTGGGGAGAGGGATTTGTTTGTTTGTCCTGTTCTTGTTTTTGTTTATCCAAAAGCAATTTCAGCAGGTGCACTGTGTATACAGCTAATCTGGAAGCATAGAGTCTTGGTCAGAGGGACTCTGGGTAGTCCAGACCTTCCCCAAAACGGAGTTTTTAGTTGCAGTTGATCCTCGGTGTTCCACAGCCCTGCACCTCACCTCCCGTTTGAAGGAGAATAGGATCAGGGACGGCAGCTGAGCTTACTTTGGCCTCCTTATACACTGTAGGGACAAAAGGAAGAACAGTAGGAGAAGCAGACGAGGGCTGGATCCAAGAAGAGTGGACAGGTACCTCTGATTTCCTCCGGAGAAGAGTAAAGAGTTGTGCCCATGGGTGTTACATTGGCCCATACCACACTGGTACTAATGGGGTCAGCTCAAGTGCCTTTTGGAGGAAACTTGGGTGAAAGTGGCCATGAAGCCCTTTCCTTCTCTCTTTGGGCAGTTGATCTTGGAGATAGTTTGTGGCTGCCTCGCTGCCGTTGACTCCTAAGCCAGAGGTGTTGAGCGGGGGAGTCATGGATATGAAAGTGGGTTCTCTGTCCTTGTGCCCTCTTAGGAAGTTGAGTAACAACTTCAAGAAAGAAAGAAATTTGGTGTCCCCTGACATGACTGTTGAGCAGTACGAGCTGTTCTCCCTGTCCAAGTCCTATCACTGTATTCAGGTAGAGGAGATAGGGGTCTGGCCTTTGGTTCCAAAGAACAAGATTTTGGCTTCCTTCTTGATGGCCATCCCTTCCCAACAAAGAATTGGGGGTGGGGGGTGCTGCAAAGAAAGGACTGAGGAAGAAACCTAATGTAGGTTTTATTCTTAACCATATTCTTTGCTCCTCTCTGCTCCAACACCACCACCCTATCCACCCTCACAAAAGTGATCAGGGGTGTGTGTGTGTGTGTGTGTGTGTGTGCGCGCGCGCGCATGTGTGCGTGCGCGATGTATGTGTGGTATGTGAGAATGTTTGTATGCTTGAGATGGCATATTGAGCCAAATCCTTCTCTGGCCCTCTACTCAGGGGAGGATGAGCATAAAACAGCCTCCCCCGCCCCAAATCTGAAGGGTGCTTAAGGTTACAGCAGGAGCTGAGGAACTCAATTTGGGGGACTCGGTGGCTTTGTTTTGGGGGGGTTTTTTAGATTGAGTCAGCAGGCTGGTGGGTTAGGGTGTTTCTAACCCAAGCCAGGGGCTCGAGAACATGAATTTTTCTAAAGCGAAATAAACCCTCTTTCTTCCTAAGGAAAGGATCCTTATGGGAGGTTCTGGGGTTTGTGGCCTGTGTTCTGTCGCCTGCCCTGACCTGTGGGGTGGAGAGTAATCATGGACACTTGGTGAACCTGACCAGGCTGTCAGTGGGGATCTGAGATGGCAGCCTCTAGGAAATGTGTTCATTTCCCACCAAATACAGGGAGCAGCAGCAGCAGACTACTGACTGTTAGCTATTCTAGAGGAGGTAACGGAGAGTTGGGACAGTCCTCCATACCTCTGAGGTGTGAGGATTTCAGGGAAAGAAAAGATGCATGGCACCCTTCAGGTTTTTCCTGATGGCATCTGAGACCCTTTGGGGGAGACGGGAACATTTGCCACCCTGTGCTCTTCTAGCTTTATGCTGGCAATCCCATTGGTTGTAGTCCAGAACCTAGAACACAGTCAGTCTACAGATCTGCCTGTGGTTCCTATAAGCAGAGTACCCTTCTGCATTAGAGCCAGCCCCCTGCCTGTGAGAGGGCTCTGCTCAGGCTGGAATTTGTGTATCATTCACCTCTGGGAAGGAGGACACATTTAGAAAACTGTCCTCCCAAGAGTGCTTCTGAAAATGGGAGGCCTCACTCCCTGACACTTGCAGCTAATCTGTTTAGGGTTGGGGGAGGGGGGAGCAGGAGGGCATTGTGGAGAGAGAATCACGTGAATGATCTATGCCCCTACATGTGTGACTGTTTGTTTAGGTCAGAATGTGCCCTGGCCCCCAACAAGCCTCAGCTTCCTGCCTGGGTGGGTGGGACAGAGGGAACTGAGTGGATGTGCAAAGCCATAGCAGAACCATCCCTGTCAAAGATTGGGTGTGGGGAAAACTCAGGAGCAGGTGGTTAGTCCAGATGCTGATGTTCTGGGGCCATGGATGTGTAAGGCGAAAGGAGTAAAGAGGTGAAAGGAGTGATTTAGCACCCCGAGGGCCCAGGAGCCCCACTTATACCCCAGGGAAACCACAGGCTAAGACCGCTTGCAAAGGCTCCTGGGCCCAACGCCCCACCCTCCTTTGCTGGGGTGGGGTCTAGCACTGGAAAGATGCCTCAGGTGTGTTTGGAGTGAAGGGAAAGGGAGATAGGGCAGGCTCTCAGAGACCAGGACGTGGAATTTGGGGACCTGGGAAAGAGTAGTGCCAGTTCCTGAGTGAGCTGCTGTACCAGGCCCTACAGCCCTGCCCTTTCCAGCGCCCCAAGTCTTTTCTGTCCATCTCCCAACAGCCTTTTGTCATCACTTAGCTACTGACTGTGCCCATGGCTTGACATTGGAGGGTTAAATAAGGCTCTGAGTCCCGCCACAAGTTTTAACCCTGTCCCCAGATGCTCTTGGCCTCTGCTGTAGCCCTGGGGCTTTTATCTTAATTCCTCCTACCCTTCCTCTACACTTTTTTTTTTAATACACTTATTTTGCTATTGGGGGAGGGGAATATCAAATGAACAAGATCACTTTTAAATGGTAGTTTTTATAAGATGTTATAAACTTGTATCTTTTTACCATTCAAGTACAGTGTATGTTCCTTCGTGATATATTTAGGATATTTAAATAAAAAGAAAGTGGGGCTTTTCTACATACTATCTCCTCTTTGAGAAGAATATCCTTTGGGTAAGCTTTTCCCCTGGGGGGGCCAAAGTGGTCTTCCCTTTATTTTTTTTTTCCTTCCCCAATATAACCACCCTGCAACTTCCAGTACCCCATAATCGGCCATTTTAAAATTCCCCTTCTCCACAGAGGAGCAACAAGTGGAAGTAAAAAGAGGGTATCAATTCTGAGTAAGGAAAAACCCTGCACAGCAGGACAGGTTAGGTACCAGCATATGCAGTGGATCTCAAAGTATGGTCTGTATTCCTCCATCAGCATTACCCTGGGAATTCACCAGCCCATCCCAGCCAGGTGCTTCCCAGGCAGCCACATATTCGCTCCCCTGCACATTCAAGCTTGAGAAACTTTCCCCGCCTTCAGGAGGTTTCACAGCCTATTATGGCCTTGGGGTAAAGCAAATGACAGCTGCAATCTGAAGTAAGACTCTTTTATTGTATATATGGATGGGGTAACCCCCACTCCTCGTGAGGTAGGGAAGCAAGGTTGCAGCAGAAAGGAACCCTCTCGGTGTCACTCAGAATGAAATAGGTGGTGACCACTCTTAGCAGTGGAGTAGTCGCCTACCAAGCTGTTACCTGATAGACCCTACCTCCCCAATTCCCACCATCCTCCCAGCGAGAAGAGCCCCAGAGTGAATATCTCTACACCCTTCAGCAAAGGGGACTCTCTGTCCCTCGAAAGTTGGGGTTGATGGTGGTCGTGATGGCACTTTTGTAGAGAGGATTGCTGTCCTGTGAAGAGAGGTTGGAAATGAGGAAAAGTCCCAGGACTCCACCTTTATCTAGTCCTAATAGCTAAACCTAGAATTTGAGCCAGACCCCAGGAGCTGATGGGAGTTAGCAGAAGGGTGGGACAGAGGAGGCACAGACTTAGGTGAGGGGGCAGGACAGAGGGTGGACTAGGAAAGCAAAGAGGACGCAGCACAGTGGGCAGTCTCCTCACCTGCTTCCAGTTGAGCTGCTGCTGCTCCTTCTCAAAGCGACTGTATTCTCGGCGGTCATAGATTTCCACTGAGAGCCGATAAGCCAGGACCAGCCCCAGTCCCACTGCCACAATGCCCCCCACGCAGCCTAGCACAATGGTCTGGGTGTAGTCTGCTCCCTCTATGGGGAAGAAACAACACACAGACTTCTAGGGGCTGGGGCATAGGGACTGATCAACATTTGCCCAAAGTGTGTGTGTGTGTGTGTAGCCCTACCCAGCCTCCCCAGCCCTGCCTATTATTAAAAACAAAGGGAACCCAGGGTCCAAGGTTATCCTCAGTGCTCAGAACCTTATCCACCTGGTCTATCACCTCCACTTTTGCCTGGATTCACAGCTCTGCTTTAACCCCTAGCCTGGTTTCCCACTAAACTTCCAGGGCTCGGTTTGGCATGTCCACAGCATCCCTGCCCACTTACTCTCTCGGGGTTTCACTCTCAGCGCAACCCTGCCTCCAGCTTCATCCTCCACCAGGAAGAATAACAAGTGATTGTCCAAGGTCCTCTCTTTGCACCAGCCGTCATCCAGGATAGGGGCCAAAGCCAGAGTCACGTTGGCATGGGCACAAGCCATGCTGCAATTGGTGGCCAGGGGACCAGTCCCAAAGGCTCCACACTCTGCACAGTCCCTGTCCAGGGGACTCCAGTAAGTTACTAGCTGGACAATTGTCACCCACACCACATGCAGGAAAGAGCAGGCAGGTGGCAGTGGCTCAGCGAGTCCCACTATGCCCCCTCCTCCCAAAATGCAAGACCTGAGACCTCCCTTACCTGTGTCTCTCGCATGGTGTCTTGCAACCTGGGCACTGATGACATAGGGCACCATAGTAGCCATCCAAGCACTGGCAGCGGTTGCATTTGCAGTGTCCATGCCCACTGCAAAGCTCACCCTCAGAACTGACACAGCCGTCCACGTCTCCACTGCACTCGCATGCTCTGCCCGTGCGGTTGGCGTGACAGTGACAAACTCCACATTGGCAGCGGCCAAAGCCTGGGACAGAGCCACACACAGTGACAACCATACTCCCTACACACAGTGGACATCACGGTACAAAGAGCTGACCTGTTCATGTGCATCAAATTCCTTCAAGTATTCTAGACACATGCTCTGACTCACACACCAGAATATTTGATACTTGCCCTTAGTGCCTTGTAGGTCCAGAGCCTAAATACCCTTGGGAGAGCCACTCAGACCCCACCCTTCTCCCAAAAGTCTCCAGGTACCTCCACAAAGGATGCCTTCATGTCGCTCACAGCTGGCATCATCACACTCGCACAGACGCCCGGAGCTCTGTCCACTGCAGCTGCAGCGTCCACACTGGCACTCTCCCTTCCCGCTGCATAGAGGCCCTGTCCCATTGGGGGCCCGGCACCCAGATTCCAGATCCAAGGAGGACAGCTCAGCCTCTGAGCACTCACAGAGCCGACCCAGGCGGCCAGGGACACAGCTGGGGGTGGGGAGGCAGGGGAGGCAGAGGGTGGGTCAGAAAGTTTGACTACCCCAGGATCCTCTAAACCCAAAAGCTCAGAAGAGTTGGCAATAGATGAATGGCTAAGGGGATGTGGAGTATAGTGAAGCACCAAGGAGTAGAAGAACAGAGGGAATCCTGCTGGAGGGGAAGGTCTCGGCATGTTTGAGAAGCTTCAGAATATGAAAATTGCAGTCTAGGAATGTATAGAAAAAAGTTGAGATGCCAGTGGGAGGATGGAAGGCAAAGGAGGAGGAATACAAGGGCTGGTCATTTGTGGGGAGACATATGGGTGAAGGGAAACAGGAGGCCCTCACCTGCACACCCCACACTGTAGGTCCCCCTGGCCGTCACTGCAGTGAGGAGCCTGGAACCAGGTGTCACTGCAGTTACAATCACACAGTGTGTGCAGCTCCACAGTCAGCTCTTCTGAGAAGCCAAGGGCTCGCAGCCTCAGAAGATGGGGCTTTGGGAGGCAGTCGGTAGCTTTGAGAGTAACCAAAAAATTTACCTGAGGACAGGATGGGTAGAAGTCAGACTAAGGACACACACACACACACACACACACACCCCACCCCCACTGATTAGGACCTTACTAAGGTCATGCACACACCGGTGTACACACACACACACACACACAAACCCACTGATTAGGACCTTACTACTTAGTAGATTAAAGGACAGGGTCATGCTAACACCTATCTCCTAGCAACACACTTGAGGAGCCACTCATCCTTCAGAAAGGATGGGTGGAGGACTACCCCATGCTTTACAGTGTTCTCCGCCTGCTCCCCATCTTTTCCTGCCTGCTTCATTTTCCCATTCCCACCCCCACTTCCTTCTGACTATCTTGGCTGGCTCTCACCGTCTGGTTGATTCGGACGTAGTTGCACTGGCCCCGGTTCCCAGCCTCACCATCCCTCTTCTCAGGACCCCCACACTGAGATTCATAAGAGATGTGAACCCCAGGAGGGAGCGGAGAGTGTTCAAGGGTCACAGTGGATGACAGGCTCTGTGGAAAGAGAGTAACAACGTAAAGGCAGGACTCCAACCCCACCTCATGCCCTTTCCAGCCCGTCCAAATTCTGCCAGAACCCTGCCCTCATCCCACCTGGGGCTCCTTCCATTCTGCCTAGTCAGGATGCATTTCTGAAGGAAGGCCCTGTGAGAACCTTGAGGTGAGTACACAGGGATCAAGAGGCCCCTCACAGCACTTCAGTGTAACTGCCATGAAGGCCTGCCAAAGGTGAGGGGTTGGCCAGGCGCTGTAAACGTGCAGTGCCTATGTTTTCAAACCCCAAATCAGGACATAGAACCTGTTTGCATACAAGGTCTAAAGGGCAGTTCTCCCACTTTGTCCTGGGAAATCTGATACTGTCTCAGATTTTCTCACCATGGGTTTAGGACATGGTTCCTGTCATTCCATAGACGCCTACAGTCTAGTTGCAGAGATAAGACCTAAACCCAAGAAACACTTGGGAATTTTTATGATTGTTCTCTATCTGTAAAAATTCTATAGTTCCTGTGAAGAATATCTGAATTGTTTATAAGTTTAATGAAAGTAGACTCCAGATGTCACATTCTTTGTGTACAGACTGACTAGGAGACAAATCCCAGCCCTTCCATCTGTTATCTGAGTGACCTTGAGCAAGTCACTTAGTCTCCTTGTGTCTGTATCCCCATCTCTAAACTAGAGATGGTTAACAGTTACCAAGCAGGGGTTTTAGTAGGGTTACATGAGATAGCAAACACTAGGTGCACTTAGGACAGTGCTTGGCATGTAATGAAAGCTCAGTGAGTATTTCTTTTGTTGCCCAGAGCAGGGCTCCATGCTCTACACAAATCAGACATTTGAGATTTATAAATATAAGAATGAGTGAGTAAATGAACTAATGACAGCCATATGCAAACTGCAGGCAGGAACTGTGGCGTGTTACCCACAAAGCGATTATTCCCTTTTAGTTCTGCCACCCCTCCTGAGGGCTCCTTCCCACCTTGCCCCAGTGCCCACCCTCACCATTCTTCCCCCACCCTGGCCCCTCACATTATAAGCGTCCATGATGAGCTGTACCACATTGTTGGAGTTCTCACTCAGCTCCCCCACTGCGGACTTAGGAATCAGCTTACTCAGCTCCTGAATTATGAGGAGTTTTGGAAATGGTGGATCACAACTCTAGGGAAATGGGTTTCTGGGGGTCTGGGAGGAGGGAATATGGTGGGAGGAGAATGGGTCTTTGAGGGACTTAAGGAAGGCTCAGTTAGGAGGGTCTGGCATTCAGGCAGCTCTCACCTGGTAGACAGGCAGTGTAGTACCGGTGACAGCAAAGATGGGCTGGATGTTTGCTGCAGAGAGAGCCTGGGCTAACTGACCCACAGAGGGGTAGTCCTGGAGCAGGGAGAGGGACAAGGTGAGCACCACAGGTCCCCCACCACACGAAAGGTGCCCTCAGCCCGGGGAAATCCAGGAACTATGGTTCCAGCAGCTACAGGAGCCTTGGAGGCTTAGCAAGGGAGGGAGGGGCTTGGGAGTGGGGTGACACGGGTTTCTGGCTGAGCAGTGGAAGCATGTGGCGAGAAGAAACTGGGGAAGATGGCAGGGCGGTTACAGTAAGGAGAAAGGCTGGAGGGTGGGGGTCAGGTGGAGAGGGTCGCAGGGAGGGCTGGGGACTCACAAACTCGGGGCTGCGACTGTAGAAGCCATTGCTGTCCAAGTGACAGTGCCCATCGCTGGGCATGAAAATGCCACCCAACTTCCCATCCCCAGCTGTGTGGAATGTGTCATCTGAAGTGAACACCAGCAGCCGGGACACATTTCTCCAGCCGATCTGCTCCTGGGGTGGAGTGGGAGGTAGGTTGTGCACCTGGACCCTTGAGCGGCCCCAGCCAGTGATGTGAGCCAAGGATTTGGCCAGCTTTGTTCTGAGTCTGTTTATCTATCCCCCCACCTCCAGTTCCCTGCTTCTCCACAGCCCCCAAAGCAGGGTTGCTGCTAGCGGAGGCCTTCTTATGAATTAGGAAAATATGCCTCTTCTTCAAGGTACTTGACTCCAATCTACTAGGAAATTGTCAAAATAAATATGCAAGCTGCAGTGACTATGATATGAACGGCACCCCCTAGAATTGTGCACAACCATAGGTGGCGGCCTTGGCCCCAAACAGTCCTTCGGATTCAAATCCCCATCCCACCTCCTCACCTGGCAGAGTGCAGCCTGCAGAATGGCATCAAAGCCACCTTCGGGCGAGTCCAGGTTGCCGGACACATTCTGGCGCCCCACCTCCCGCTCGAAGGCTTTAGCATCCCCAGTCAGGGACAGCACGTGATGAAAGCTGAAAGGTGGCTGGCACTGCTCCAGCCGGGTGGGACAGGGGTGGCGAAGCTTGGAGGGCACTGTACTCACGAAGGGCAGCACTGTTTTGTCCACGAAGGAGCCAAAGCCTGGGAGAGGGAGGGCATGAAAACTGTGCCAGGAGTCGCTGGGCAGCAGCAGGCTGGAGGGGCTACTGCTGAGGACTAGGAAGGGAGGAGTCCATGGGAGGTGGCGGCTGGGGGGTGATCCTCGAGGAGGTCATGGGAGCCAGGTGCTCCTAGAGTGCAGGGACCCAGTACCTGGCAGGGGCAACGGGCCGAGACCACCGGTTCGAGGGAGTGGGGGACTGAGGAGGTTAAGAGGAGGACACAATAAGGGTCAGGCAGGGGTTTCCTAAGGCTGAGGAAGAAGGTGGGGGTGTAAGGTGTGGTAGCAGCATGAGGCAAAGGAGGGTATCGAGAACCCAGAAGAGATGAGTGCAGAATGTGCCGCCAGGGACAGTGGCATTTAGATCTTGTCCTAGAGACACAGGGCTGACAGTGGCATCAGGGCGGTATCCGGGTTGGTAGGTCCAGGGCACTGTCTGACCCCTGGGAGCTGTCTGAGCCGTCTCTCCTGTTACCACTCCTGTAAAATGTGGTCCTACTGGACAGTCTCTTAAATCCCCTCCAGCTCTGACCTAGAAGATGGATGTTTTTGGGGAGAGAGATCAGCAACCTGTGGCCTGTTAAAAACTGAGAGAGGGCAGGTGGGGCCCTTGTGTTGGCAGAGGCGAAGGCGGTGATTGAAGTTAGAGGCAGAGGGCTGGCAGGTGCTGGGCGGCGCTCCACTCACCTATGCGCACTGAATGGGTGACCTCCTGCAGTCGCACCAGTAGGGCGTGCCCAAGCTGGCGCACGAACTCCAGGTCGTCCTTCATGGAGTAGCTCAGGTCCATAAGGTAGTAGAGGTCCACAGGGTATCCCTCAGCACGGAGGAAGCGGACCCGGAGCTGCTGGGGCTCCCCTGGGGTGGCAGGGGTCGGGGCAGCGGAGGGTCAGCAGGGCGTGTCGGTTCCCGCCCAGACCTCTGCCCCGACCCCTCCGCCTGTCACTCACCGGGCCGCAGCGTGACTCGCACCCTCTGCGGCGCCAGCTGGGTGGCCCCCTCGCCTCGGTCGCCCTGGCTGAGCGGCTCATCCTGCAGCACCTCCTGCAGACCACGGGGCTCCTCCAGCTCCCACGGCGGGCAGCCCCGAGCCAGCAGCTCCTCTCGCCGGGCGCAGCGCCGCGCCTCAGCCTCCCCGGCTGCCGTGAAGTTCTATGCCGCAAGAGGAGGTGCATCGGCACCCTAGTCCCAGCCAGCAATCCCAGCCACTTCTAACCCCTCCCCTCTCAGGCAACTCCCTGAGACCCTCCGATTCCCTCCCCTCCCCTTCCACAGCTACCCTTGAACCCCGACCCTTTCTTCCTTGTCAAAGCCACATCCTATAACACCGCTTTTCTCCCTTATCTCTACTTCCTCCCCTTTACCCAGCTGCCTACCCTTACACTCCCACTAGGGCCTTAGACTTCCTGTTGAGACTCTCAGGGACCTCACTACCGCACAAACAAACAAACAAAAAACACAAAGAGCCTGCCTGGCCTCCTAGTCCAACCACCCCTTGATGCTCAGGCTGAAATGGGAAGGGGATCAAGCTAAGACCCACAGTTCCTGGGAAGGGAAAGAATAGGGACAGAAAAGGAGACCCCTTCCCCCCAATATGTCTGGTACCCCTGGGACTGGCTGGGAAGCCGCAGAGGAAGGAAATGGTTAGAGTGATTTCTCAGCTGGCCTAGGTGCCAGCCTATGGTCTAGGGAATTGGAGAAGGCAGACATATACTCGACTGTCCCAAGAGACTCCACCTGGTACCTCTGCTCTCTGCCTCCTGTAGACTGAGTCTTCACTTCCAGCCCTCCCAGACTCACTATGTGCCTTTCTCCTGGGAGTGCTTAGCCTCTGTAGCTCTGCCTCCTAGTGAGTTTGCCCTCATCCCTTATATAACTCTCCATCGTCCTGTGAGAGGCATCCCCAGCTCAGGCACCTCTATGCTCTGCCACTCCATGAGCCCTGTCTCCTTTAAGGCATAAACAAAGAATAGCCTTAATTTTGGGCCACTAAGGTAGCTCAAGCCTTTCACCCAAAGCCCACAGGCTTCTAACTCCTTCCCTTCTACCCTCTCAGTCACAGGCTACGTACCCCTGCCAGCCCCCAACACAGACTCAGAAACCCAAACACACACTTTCTGCTATGGATTAACCCTCAGTGTGATGGTATTTGGAGATAGGGCCTCCGGAAGAAATCAGGGTTAGATGAGGCCATGAGGGTAGAATCCTCATGATGGGATTAGTGCTCTAATGAGAAGAGACACCAGTGGGCTTATCTGCAGCCCATCTACAAGCCAGGAAGAGCAGCTCACCAGGAACTGAATCTGCCAACCCCTTGACCTTGGACTTCCCAGCCTCCAGAACTACCAGAAATAAATTCCTATAGCTTTAGCCACCCAGTCTATAGTATTTTGTTATGGCAGTCCAAGCTGACAAACTTTCTCATATATGTACATGCAAAATAGGTTCCTCTACGGATACACAAGCATGTGTTCCAACAAGAACATACTTCCTCCAAAATCAGTCGCAAGTCTTGTCCATATATACACAAATACACAGATACAGACATAAACACACATGCACTGGGACCTAGCATGCATGTTTATGCACACATGCAAACACAGTCACACACAGGAGTCCTATGTGCAGCACAAACTTAATCATACACAGGACTACAGAGTACACCCAGAAAAATCACACATGTGCCCATACAATCACACACATATCCAGGCTGCACATACACCTACACATGGCTCATTGGCCATGGGCCCATTTTTACCAGTTGCTTGCACCATGCACAGCTTGGATGTGAGAGGATGCACTTCTGGCAGGAGGGGGCTGGCTGGCAGGACCCTGGCAGGGTCAGATCAGGATCCCCCCATTCTGTGGCCTCCCCTGGAGATGAGATCTTGGTGTCCAACTCACTTTCACTTCTGCTCAGGACCAGCAGGAAAACAAGGGCCACTGACAAAGCCACCATGGTCTATAATAGGGTATAAAGGGGGACACATGGGTCGTCAGAGAGGGACCCCCCCCAAGTTCTCAGTCCTCTAAACTTAGTCTGTGGTTGTCACTCTCAAAACTCTACTCCAATTTTTTATCTCCCCTCATAGTTTCACTTCCCTCTGTGGATTCAGCAGTTTCTTCAAAATCGTGGGAAGGGGCAAGTACCAGGCCATGGTAGGGGGCCTTGGAGAAGACCCATCCCTCCTGTGTGCAGACTTCAAGAGGCCAGGGTAGGCAAAACGGCCTAACCAAGAGTCTGGGCACTGGGCCTGGAGGCACTAAGGTCTACACACAGGTCTGTTCACCAAGATTCCCAGTCATAGAGGAAATAGAACAATATGGGAAACAGACCAGGTTCTGGTCCTGCCTTTGTCACTCACTGGCTGTGTGGTAAGTCAGACTTTCTCTTTGGGTCTTAGTTTCCACATCTGTAAAGTGAGGGCATTGAATAACCTGACAGCTCTTACAGCTCTTACAATCTTGGATTCTATATAAGGGAAGAGGATCAGAGGCTCTAAATAAGGGGGAGAAGTCAGAGAGTAGGAAAGAGAAGCAAGAAAGCTGGAGCAGATGAGGGAGTGTGTGAAAGAGGCAGGGAAGGATAGCTGTACTTGATGGACATGGTAGCAAAAGGAATAGATTAAACCATAAGAAGAACTTTCTAAAGGTCTGGGATAACTGAGGAAAGAAGGCCAGAGGTTGTAAATTTTTTCTTTTCCTCTACTTTGTGCAAAGGGAATCTAGAGTAGAAAAAGAGCCAGTCATTCCAAGAAGGCAGTCATTCCAATTCCTGTGACCTCTGGAGAAGACCAGGCAAATTTCTGATTTTTCAAAACTTACTAATTAAAATTTAAATAGTCAATTCATTACCATGCTTCAAAAATTAAAAAGTGAAATCCCAATGGCCTTTTTCACAGAAATGGTAAGCTGATCCTAAAATTCATATGGAATTGTCTAAATAGCCAAAATGATCTTGAAAAAGAATGAAGTAGGGGGACTCACACTTTCTAATTTCACAACTTACTACAAAGGCCACAGTCATCAAGACAGTGTGGTGCTGGCATAATGATAGGCATATAGATCCATGGAATATAATTGAGAGTCCAGAAATAAATGCATCCATTTATAGCCAGTTGATATTCGACAAATGTGCCATACCACTCAATAAGGAAAGAATAGTCTTCAACAAATGTTGCTGGGAACAACAAATGTTCCATATGTAAAAGAATGAAGTTGGACTCCTACCTCACAACGTATACAAAAATTAACTGAAAATGGATCTAAGACCTAAGTGTAAAGTGCTTAAACCATAAACTCATAAAAGAAAATATAGGGGTAAATCTTCATAGTTCTGGACTTGACAATGGATTCTTAGCTATGACATCAAAAGCACAAGCAATAAAAATAAAAATAGATAAACTGGACTTCATCAAAATTTAAAACTTTTGAGTATCAAAGGACAATATCAAGAGAGTGAAAAGACAGACCACAGAATAGGAGAAAATATTTGCAAATCATATATCTGATAAGTATCCAGAACATATAAAGAACTCTTACAAGTCAGCAACAAAAAGACAACCCAAATTTAGAATGGGCAAAGGACTTACATAGACATTTCTTCAATGCAGATAGATAAATGGCCAACAAGCATGTAAAAAGATGTTCAACACCATTAGTTATCAGGGAAATGAAAATAAAAACCACAATGAGATACCACTTCATACCTAGTAGGATGGCTATAATAAAAAAAGAAAGAAAAATAAGTGTTGATGAGGATATGAAGAAAATGGAACTTTCATTGTTGCTGGTGGGAATGTAAAATGGTACATCCACTGTGCAAAACAGTTTGGTGATTGTTCAGTAAGTTAAAGCATAGAATTACCCTATGACTTGACAATTTCACTCCTAGGTATATTCCTAAAAGAACTGAAATCAGGTGTTTAAACAAAAACGTGTCCATGAGTGTTCATAGCAGTAGTACTGACAATAGCTAAAAGGTGGAAACAACCCAATGTCCATCACCTGATGAATGGATAAACAAAAGGTGGCATATCCATACAATGAAATATTATTTGGCCATAAAAAAGAATGAAGCACTGATACATGCGACCTCATCAATGGACCTTGAAAGCATTATACTGCATGAACAAAACCAGTCATAAAAGACTACATATTGTATGATTCCATTTATATGAAATAGCCCCACTAGAGCAGGGGTCAGCAAACTTTTGCGATGGAAGAGCCGCCAGGGGTCTGCAAACTGCGGCTCGAGAGCCACATGTGGCTCTTTGGGTATGTACATGTGGCTCTGAAGTAAAATTGAAAATGAAAATAAAACTATCATAGTTTCATTTATAAAATTTTTAAAGGATATTATTCACATAATGGTGATTATGTAAAAATATATTTATGGCTCTCGAATAATTTTTAAATTGTTGTGAGGGACAGGATTGGCTCTTCCAGGGGTTGGCAACTTTTGAGATGGAACATACCCAAAGAGCCGCATGTGGCTCGCGAGCTGCAGTTTGCAGACCCATGCACTAGACAAAGACATAGAGACAGAAAGTAGATTAGTGGTTGCCAGAGGGCTGGGGAGGAGGGAAGGATGGGGAATGACAGCTTAATGGGCAGTTTCCTTTTGGGGTGAAGAAAAAGTTCTGGAACTCGATAGTGTTTATGGTTGCATGGCATTGTGAATGTACTTAATGCCACCAAACTGTGCACTTAAAAATGGTTAAAATGATCATTTTTATGTGTATTTTACCACAATAAAAAGTTAAATAAGAAGGTGAGAAATCTTCCATTCCTATCCCCCATCAACCCTAAGTTTCTACCCACTCCAAATAATCAGCATTTATTATCTTTTGTTGCCTATAGTCTTCCTAGAGATTGTTTTATGTACATACAAACTAATATGACCATATACATGCTCTTTAAATGGTAGAATTCTACAAATAGTAGAATACACACAGTTCTGCATCTTACTTTTTTTTTTTAACTACTTTTCTTGGAGATCCTCCTGCCCAAGAAAATAAAGAAATTCCTTGTTCATTTTTACAACCATATAGTTTTCCATTGCATGGATATATCATAGTGTAGTTAGTCTCTTATGACAGGGATTTATTTTTTATTCATGCATTTTTTTATGGGGATTTAAATTGTTTCTACTTATTCACTATTGTAAATAATGCTGCAGTGAAAATTCACATATTTGTCATTTCACATGTGTGCAAGTGAATCTAGGATAAATCCCTGGTAGAGGATTAGTAGGGTCAATAAATAGGTGTCATTTATAATGTTGGTGAGTATTGCCAACATCACCTCCTTAGAGACCATGCCAGTTTACATCCCAATTAATGGTATATGAGAAAGGCCCATTAACCCCTTGTCGTGAAGCATCTGCCTCCTCCTCAGCCTAGACTCAAATCCAGATGTTCTGCACAGAGTGTGGGAAAGGGGTGGGGTGCCAAGTTGTTGACAGCCCCTGTCTTGCTTCCTACCACCTGTGTGATCTTAGGCATAGAATGTGTATGTAACGGACGCTCCACCCTCTATTGAGAGACCAGCCCAGGGCTCAGCCTCAGTGCAATAGCTCTGCTTGCTCTGCACCCCTGTGGTCAGGGATGGTGCAGCTCAAAGCCCACTTTTGACTCATTCCCTCACAGGTGGGGCCCCCATGCTACAGTGGTTTCCCAGATAGAACAAACCCAGATAACTCAAGCCCCACTCATCTCCCCTTAAGGAGGTTTCTGGGACTCGGGGACAGCCCACTCCAATCCCCATCTCCCAATTCCCCTCTCTTCCTGGCTCTATCCTCCTTGGGGATACATGACCTGCCACTTGCTTGTCTTAATTTGACTCTCTCTCCCCTCCCTAATCAAAAATTGATTAACATCTCCCTGCTGCTTTTCTCTTCTCCACTTCTTCACAGTTCTTTGTTTTGCTTCTTTTTTCTCTCTGATCCTAACCATAGAATGGCAGAATCTTCCACTTCAGTCCCTTCTTTTTACAAATAGAAACCTGAATCCCAGAGTGGTTGACTTGCCCAAGATCACACACTGTATTAGGGGCAGAACAGAGACTGAGACAGGTCAGGCCCCATGGTTGCTTTGTTCCTTTCCTCTCCTCCAACCCAGGCACCATCAACATCCAAAGTTGTGCCTTTGCCCACTAGCCCCAATGGGCTCTACCTAATCCCCTTTCTCTGTTCTTGGGGGACTTCTTCATCTTTCCTTCTCTCCCTACATGGTCGTCCCACTTGCCTGGACTCAATTCTGACCCCAATACACACCCTACTGTTCCCTCAGCAGCTGAGAAACAGAGCGTCTTCCCAAGTCAAGCAGAATCCTCTGCTGTCCAGTTGGAGTCACAAGGAGGAAACAGAACCAGGCCACTGGACCACAGTCTCCCAGGAGTGTGGGATCTGTGGCCAAGCTGCCAAATGGAAGGAGGTCTGCACTGAGCACAAGGCATTAGAGAACAGGAGAGTAATTAGAGGGCTGGGGAGTAATACTGGGAGAACCCTACCTTGGCATAATCCTTTGCACATGGCAGGCACTCAGATGGTAGCACTCATACATTCCCCCACCTTCTTTTCCTCCCTCCAGCCCCATTCTTGGGAAACTGATGCAAGAGAGAGAGGTTGGGAGAGGGAGAGCTTGTACAACAAGACAGGGGATCTTAGGAAAGCAGAAAGGAGTTTTGAGCCTTTCACAAGTTTCAGCTGAAACCTGGGTGTCAGGACCCTCTTCCCGGGAGGTTGGGACCAGGTGGGGCCTGGACCAGTAAGGAGAGGCAGGAGGGCTGGCGCCCTGGTACTCACAGGTGCCAGCAGAGCAGCCTTTCCTCCAGCGGCAGCGGCAGCCTTTGTGTACTGATCTGGGAGGCTGCAGAGGAGGAAGTGACACGCCCCGGGGTGGGGGAGACTTTGGGGTGGTGGGGGTAACTGATTGGAAAGTGGGGCAGATAGGGGTGGAACTGGGCCAAGGGAGGTGACTATACGGTGATCTACAAGAAAGCAAGGAAGCTCATCTATTGAGCACCAAATAGGTGCTGGGTGTATCCTGATGTTATAATTAATCCTCACAAAAAACCTCATGACATAGGTGTTAATATTTGCTCAGCCCCCGAGTTTTACAGATGTTGAGGTTTAGAGGAAAGAAGTAAAAATGTTGCCCCAGGTCACATAGCTAGTAACTGGCTGGTCTGGGATTTAAATCTAGGTCTGCCTGCCTCCCAAGTTGACCATCTCTCCACTTCCTCACATAGGAACATAATAGGAAGAAATATGGAGGCAGTAAGTACTATAAGGGGGAAATTAGTGACTATTGTCCATTTTGAAAACCCAGTGTCCACAGTATCGTAGTAGGTGCTTAACTACATGGGCTCTGGAGCCAAACTGCCCAAATTTAAATCCTGGCTCTATCACTTACTAATAGTGGGACCTTCAGTAAGTTACTTACCCTTCCTGTGGCTGTTTTCTCACCTGTCAAGTAGAACTCACAGGATTGTTGTGAGAATTAAATAATTCATGCAACTGCTTAGAAGAGAACCTGGCACATACTAAGGGCTTGATGAGAGAATCAGTGGATGAGAAGTAATGGGGGTGAAAGTGGAGAGGCTTTGAGAAATTCAAGGTAGGTCCAGACAGCTGGGAAGTTGGAGAAAGACACAAAGCATGAGGCTGGGGGCCAAGGAGCCAAGACAGAAGTAGAGCCTGGGAAAGGGGTTGAGGAGGCCACCTGGGAGAAGCAGAGACGTCAGGGTGGCAGCTGGAGCTGGGGCAAGGATGAAACCTGTAGGAAAGATGGGGTTGTAGAAAATATTCGCCCCCGGCCCACACTTGACCACAGGGAACTCTGAGAAGGAAGTGGACCTGCTCTGTGTTCATAGGTCCATCTCCTCTACCAGGAGTGGCACTCCTTGCAGGCAGGACTGCCTGAAGCCACAGCACCTAGCCAAGTGCCCATCTGAGAGCAGGTGCTCAGTAAATGGCAAATGGATTGTAGGAGTATAGCTCCTGGGAGGAGCAACTGGGGAGAAGGGGTTCCTTCTCTGAGTGGGCTTCAGATGGCCTCAGGTTATGGGACTTTTTACCCTTCCCCCACTATCAGAGGTTACTATGGCAATGACCTCTACTGTGGTTTCCTCTAGAGCTTCTTTCACTTTCTTCTTCTGCTTTTCCCTACTCTTCTCTCCTCCCCTACTGCCACATCCTCAACCTCTCTCTCCCATACGCACAGGTCATGGGTGAAGAAAGCCAGGAACAAGGTAGGCTAGGCACTGTCCCAGGGAAGAAGGTGGATCAATGTGGGGGGACGGCGTGTGTGTGTGTGTGTGTGTGTGTGTGTGTGTGTGTGTGTGTGTGTGTGTGTGATATTGACGGGGCATCACAGAGGGCAAGGGGAAGATGAGTACAGGGCACAGTGGTAGGCAGAGACGAAGGCAGTGGGACATGTAGGGGCAAGGAGAGAGATTTGGACAGAAGGTAACAGTGGGGTAATGGAGGCTGAGTGGAGGTCACGGAGTGAAGAGAGTAGGGTCAGAAGGAACAGAGTGAGTGACTCATAGATGAGAGTGGGAGAGCTCATGGAGTGAAGAGTTGTTATAAAACAGAAATACTGTAACTTAGATACAGGCCATGGGCCTTTTCTTCTGGGCCAGAGACCCTCATGAGAACCAAATGAAACTTCAATGAACCCCCTCCCCAGAGAAGGGCAGAGATACGCATATACAAAACTGGGGGTAGGGACAGCTTAAAGACCTCTGAGGCCCATTCCCACCTTCCCAGACATATAAGTCCACAGAGTTGATATAAGAACCCACTAGTAGCTATGGGATGCCCAGACACTCAGGACTCCCTTTCTCCCCACCCTACCAACCCTTCATCCAGACACATTACATCCTATTTCCATGGTTCCCCGAGAAGGCTGCAAAATCCAGTAGATTAGGAGCTCCCCTTCTCACCCAGGTCCTCTCCAGGTCAGCTGGTCCTTCCCCCACTACAGTCTCCTCCTCCTCAAAGGAGCCACATCCCGTGAGTTTCCATCACTTTATTTTGCAAAAATAGAAAACTCAGCAATATGCGATACAGCGGGGTGGGGGGGAGATGTAAACAGAGGGGAGGGACAGCACCCTGACCCCCCAGAGAAAAAGGGGAGCCAGTGGGAATCTTATTTGGCAACTAAATACAAACTGGGGATTGAAGGAAGAAGGGAGGGGTCACAGGGGCCCTGGGCTCCCCCTCCCAAGACCCCTAGAGGAAGGGGTCAATTCCAGGGTGTAAACAAAAGCTAATAAATAAATAGAGGCTTCCTCTGGGTCAGGGCGGGATCAGCTAAGCAGCACCCACCCCCCTCTCCCTGGGCCAAGCTGCTCTGGGGGTCAGGGGGGAAGGCACTAGGGAGAGAGGGGTCCCCTGGCCCCTCTGTAGTGTAGGAGGGTCCCTGCCCCGGTGGCTGAGATGGGGGGCAGAGGGAGCCCAAGGCACATGACAGGGCAGGGGAGGGGCTTATAACGGAGGGCACAAGGTAAACTCTGGGCTCAAGCAAAGAGGTGCAGAATGGACCTGCATCTGTCCCTTTCACCCTCTGGTCCCCACAGAAATGCAGGGCCCAGCCTGCCCCCCACCCCCAGTCTGGAGCAAGGATGGGGCACAGAGGGCAGCGTGCACCCAGCAGGTGCATTACGCAGCATTAGGCACCAAGGGCAAGGGCAAGGGGGTGGGCTCAGCCCTCCCCTTATGCCCCCCTTTTGGTCTCTAGTGTTCCTGTTTGCTCCCAGAGGCCTAAGCACCTGGCAGAGGAAGAGGCTGTGGAATGGCGGGTTCCTCCTCCTGCCTGGGGGAGCCTGGGACCCTGGTGTCTGAGGGGCAGTGCTGAGATTTTAGAATCCAAACCCAGGCTCACCCCTCTGCCCTCTCTACTGGTGGGAGCAGGGCAGGCCCCCGAGACTAGAGAGGGAGTCAGTTAGAGCAGGAAGGGGCTGAACACAGAGGCACCCCTGGAAACTTTGGCAAAAACAAGGAGCTCATTGGAAGGGGTGGGGAAAGGGCAGAGCAGGTCCTCCCCCAGTCACTGGTGGTGTCTGGGAGATGGTCAGTCTGCTGCCTGGAGCCCCAACCCCCACGTCAGGGGAAGTCAGGGGCCCTGGTCAGGCTGGGGGCTTCGGCCCCCTTTTCCCTGACCCCCAGGAACCTCATCCTCGCTAGGGGCCTTAGGGTGGGGACCAGTCTGCGAGGAGTCGTCCTCAAACATTTCAGGGTTCTCCAGCATCTCTCGGATCAGGGGAGGCATCGGGCCTGGAATCTCCATCTTCAGG